TTAATCAACATGTGGTGCTCTAGCAGGTATTTCTGCAAAAGGACTGTGTATAGATAGGACTGGGTCAAAACAAACTACTGTGTTATTCATGTTGATGAAAATATACCCAGTTCAATAGTATGGCCGATTTGTTTTTATTAATTTTTATACAATAATGGCAAACGCTCCCTCTACATGTTCAGTGCTTTTCTAATGTAAAATTAATGTAAAGCAACAATGCTTACAAACGCCACTATTGTGCACCTGTGTCTGTATTTTGTAAGAAAGAAAAACTATTTACCTTAGTTGTTAGATAAATCCAGACCACAGATCTGGTGTGCTTCAAAAAGGTTGCTCTGTGATGTCCTTGATATGCGAGTTCCAGGAGTAAAACAGGTCAAACTCTGGGCAGTTTTTAAGGAACAGAGCAACACTGACTTTCCAGATTCAGTGATGGCAACTTGTAGGGCACTCAACATTAATATAATGAATCTGTCTGCCCAAAATAACCATGCGGGTGGTTTGTCCCTACCTTTTGATACCATCTGAACGAGGCTCTGTTGTTGGAACAATAGCAACTTAAATAGGTTTAGAGAATGATCAGTTGTTTGGTTTAAAATAAGTACTCCATTATGATTGGTGTGCAGTTGTGATCATGGTTACAATAACAGTTAAAGTTTGGTGAGCATGGTCAAAAGAAGCAACATTGTCTATAGGTTTGAAACAGGAAACAAACAGCAGTCTCCTGGTTTAAAGTCCAATGTTTTGTTGACTCATCCATCCTCTCTGATTTCCTCCGTACACAGACTTGAGGCCGTGGCTCTAAAACACTTTCTGACTTCCTCCTTTGGTTCATCTTAATTACTACAGCCAGTAGAAGTTGCTACCAGTTGAGCGTAAATATATGTGATTTGGGGATCTTTCCTGAAATAACCAATGTGGTTTCAAATGACCTCTAGAGGTCCCTTAGCAATGAAACATAGCTATGGGTAGAAATGAGTGACTTGCACAACAACCTCGACATCATTGTATGGAATGGCAGTTTCTGCTGATGGCACCTAGTGTGCGGTGGTATGAATCTGTGCAGTTTATTTTGCTTTACTTGTTCAAGATGGTGAGCACATAGTAAGTCCAGCGAAACCTCCACACATGTATGCACACGTTATAGAAATCTTTGCAAAACTGCAGTTTTTTAGGCACCATCTTCAGTGGTGTTTTTATGGGCCTCACTGAGCTCCCCAGTGTTTTCTTCTTGTGCTTGTTGTCTGCCTGTTTCTTTCTGCTTTCTTTTTTTAAATTCTCCTTTCACCCCAACTGGCCGAGGCAGATGGCTGAGCCCCTGCCTGAGTCTGGCTCTACCAGACATTTCCTCCTTTTAAAAAGAGAGTTTTTCCCCCACTGCTGCCAAGAGCTGGCTCAAAAGAATTCCTTGGATTTGTTGGGTTTCTTCTTTATGAACTATTATTGTTTCATGTTTTATGTAACTTCTAGTTTCATGAGATCACTTATGATATGAATTAGCACTATAAAAATAAAACTTTATTGAATTGCTGTTTTGTGTTTTTCAGGGAGGCTTCTTCTTCTTCTTCTTCTTCATTGGTATGGGACACAATTGAAGAACCTGAAGTGGACTTTGAGGAGTTTGTGGAGTTGTTTTCCAAAACAGCTGTGAAGATAAAAAAGCAGCCCCTGTCTGACACCATAACCAAGTCCAAGGCCAAACAGGTTTGTACGTTATAGTGTCTATTATATCCTGTAAGCTACATACTAGAAGGAAGCAAAATAATAGTATTATAATAATTATATAGCTACTAATAGTGCTACCTTATGCTTCAGTATATTTAATCCAGACACGGGCAAGAAATCATTTACAACTGGTATCAGTAAGCTCTTTCAGAAGGGCAAAGTCAGTCAAGATATCCTCAAAATCCAGAAATTTGCTATAGCTAAGTTCATCACTCACAGTTGCCCCTGGGTTTTTAGCATTGTTTCCAAATCATCAAGAAATCCCACTAGTTGTTCTGTCACCGATAAGAATTACAGCTCCAGTTGCAGTCCTGGGCTCTGGGGGGCCTGAGGCAGAGTAGCCTTTGGGGGCTGCTTATTTAGGGGTGGAGGCAAACATTTGTCTGGTTTGCCAGACAAACTGTTAGCTGATTAATATATATGAAGACTTCAGTGAATTAAATAATAACATTTATTTCAACAAGGCACTAAGCCCACGTTCCCAATTTCTAAGTTGTACAGTATCCCACAATCATTCATCCATCCATTATCTATACACCGCTTAATCCTCACTGGGGTTGCAGGGAGCTGGAGCCTATCCCAGCTGACTTAGGGTGAAGGCAGGGGACACCCTGGACAGGTCGCCAGTCTATCACAGGGTTACACTTAGAGACAGACAACCAAGCACACTCACATTCACACCTACAGACAATTTAGAATCACCACTTTAACTCAACATGTTTTTGGACTATGTGGGAGGAAGCCGGAGAACTTGGAGAGAACCCATGCTGCACGGGGAGAACATGCAAACTCCACGCGGACAGATACAGCATGTATGGCTAGCCCTGATCATGTACACGAAAGGAGCTTAAAAGTAAACGTAATGAAATGACCCTGAAAATAGTCAAGGACTCCTGGGGTTAATACTTTGTTTATGTCATATTGAAGTTACTATAATTGCCAATTTCCCATTATTGCAGCTGGGGAAAGTTAAGATTTTCAGAAAGCTCCAACTTGGTGCTAAAGTTCACTAAGTGCTCAAAAAGCCAAGCAAACATGGATGTGTAACTGCATGGATAATTTAAAATGATGAAAATGATTGTTTATTCTTGTTGCTTTTAGGTTGTGAAGCTCCTAAACAACAAGCGTTCTCAGGCTGTAGGAATCCTCATGTCCTCTCTGCACCTTGACATGAAAGATATCCAGAATGGTGAGTTCTTCACTTTATTTGGTGTTTTTAATTCAAATGATAACGTCATTATACAGCTAGATTTAAAAAAAAAAAAAAAAAAAAAACCCAGGCAACCATATTCTTAGAGACTTTTTCAACCATCTAGATTAAAAAATGTTGAATTTTAAAAGATATATTAGTTCTTTTTCTTGCAAAACTGCATGCTACACAGGATACGCAGGGTCTTTGTATAGCTTGTCCTAAACAAGTATCTGATAAACATCTTTACTTGTACTGACTTATGGTCATTTGATTGTTGTGGGAAGTAAGTAGTTTAACTTGCACAGTTAACTGTGGACACCACAGATGTGTAGTGGTTGTTATTATACTATCTTTTAGTTCCGTCCCGTACACATGCAGTAGGACACCAAGGTGAGGCTGCAACGAGGAGTCGGTGCAGATTCTTGCAGACCTGGGTAGATGGCAAAATTTACATCTTTGGCCTTATATCCATTAGACTGATGTGACAGTTGTTGCAACTAGTTACTTTAAACTACATTTTTTATTGAAAAAATTCAGTGCTCATGGTTAAATCAGCAGTTGTCAACCATTTGGCTTGTGATCCATATAATCAGTGTCTGATTGTGTTTCCCTATTGAAGTGAAGTAACTAACTGCACTCAACCTATCTATCCACCAGAGAAACCAGCATTGTAAAGAACTTTGTGTAGATAGTTTTACTTCCCAAGGAGTTTCTGTTTGGAGGTAGTACTTTCTCATGATTCAGGCTATAGTTTGCAGCACTGAACATTGTTGATTGGTCTAGTACAGCAGTACAGATGGGGAAAATGTTGGGGGAAGCAAACAAGAACAACTATGATTATTATTTGTTCTTATTTATTGTTCATTTTTCTTATTATATTCTGCCCTCAGCACAATGCCAATATTGTGCCTATATAAAGCCTATTCAAACTGAGTCGTGTTTCTGAGAATGAGTTACATGCTAAACTCAATGAACCTTCACACCCCTGTTCTCTGTTTTGCTTTGGTTTTCTTGAATTTATCCTGTTCTGGTCTCCTTGTAGATGTTTCTGTCTTTTTTTCCTGGAGACAACATTACAGGACAAAGAACTTGAGTGACTAGAGACTGGTGAATTGTGACCCATGACCTCTTTTTCTCTTTGTCTCAGCTGTCCTAAACTTGGACAACAGCATAGTTGACCTGGAGACCCTGCAGGCGCTTTATGAAAATGTGAGCATCACACACTCTCAACAGTCAGTTTCTGTTGTTATGCAATAGTAATCCAGCTTTGACATCAGGTCTATGCTTGTGTACACTAGCAGAAAAGGAAGTTTGGGTATTTGGATGCTTTGTTGCTGGCAGGTTTTGTTTTACATGCTGTCTTTGCATCACTTCCTGATGGTATATAGTATCAACAGGAGGGTTTGTTGAGTTTAGTTTACTTTATTTTAGAGATCATCCTCTTAAAAAAAAAAAAAATAAATAAATAAATATATATATATTTACAGCTTATTGCCATACACAGCTATGTTTTGACAACAGTGACTTCTAGTGACTGTAGTGATTATACAGGAAGTGAGGATGTGTAGTTATAAAGCCACAGAGTCTGCACTGGGAGGAGGTTAGAGTGGATGGATGGATTGACAGAACATTGGACTTTTCACAAGAGACTGCTTTTTGTGTCCTGTTGTAAACTGTTCAAACTGTTTCAGTGTTCTCTTACCTTCACTGCACATTTTTTATCGTAACCATGATGAATAGTGTCTTCTATTCCAACACGTTTCCCTAAACCTAACTAAGTTGTTTCTATGCCTAAAGCTAACTAAACAGCGGCAAAACACTGTATGTGCTCTAGTTCCTCCTGCCAGTGCGGACACAAATTCAGGACGTGAGGGTTCAAAGGGATAGTAAGGGGACCTATATAGTTATTCAGATTGGAGAACTTGTTCTTGTACCAGAATAGCCCACCTACTCTCAATCCTGCTTTCCAGAATCAGTTTATTGTTCCACGACTACTGGTATTGTGTGCTGCCAATAACTGTATGGTTTGTATATTTTCTGCCGTTGTATTAGAATGTATGAATGATGAAGCAAGTGGAGTCAGTCTCTTGTGTATTTTCCACAGAGGGTGCAACAGGAGGAGCTGGACAAGATTGAAAAGCACATAAAATCTTCGAAAGACAAGGAGAATGCCAAGCCTCTGGACAAACCTGAACAGTGAGTGATTCCTTCACCACTTAAACACTAATGAGCAGGGTGGCCAGCCCACATGGACTTACAAGACACCAAATCAGTTCAAGAATTCAGGGTCTACCAAACAGGGTCAATTGGCAGGGATGCCCTCTAGTAGATGAATGTACTAGATAGAGCCCCATATATAGAAGCCAACCAGAGATCCTCCAGAGGGAGACACTGAGA